AATTTATTATAGAAATTGTACTGAATGCAAAAAAATATTACAAATATTAGAACGTTACAATATTTACAATATTAAGAAAACGAGACGTGCAAGAGAACCTATCCTGAGCTAATAAATAAAACACGGGAAAGAAAATGTTACTACTCACGGGTAAACTAAATACCCGTGATCACTATGCTCGTCAAAAGTTCTACGTAATACAACCAGTCACCCGTGTCGATTTGGACCTTTCATCCTACGACATGTTTGAATGACCAGAGGAACGAAAATGCATGCGACTCACGATTAGGTGCCAAGAACGTTGTGGCTCGAAAATCATTGTGAATCCCATAGAAGAAATGAAGGTCGGGCAAAATCTGCAAATGAAGTACAAAATATTATAATTTGTTCTTAAAGACGGTGCTAATTATTTGGAAAGTTTAAAATAACGAAAAGACTGCCTGCTATTAAATATTTTAACATAATATTTTAACAATAATGTTCCATCGAGGAGTAGAAAGGTTTAAACTTTCAACAATCAGATTCCATTCTTAATTAATAACAATTGAAGCAACGTACAAGGAATAAAATTAATTGGAATACAATATGTAAGGATTCTTACATGCTTAACCTCAAAGCACCACACAGTCACCAGGAAACAGGAGAGGAGGAAGTTGTGCAAAAGTCTTTAATTAAATACCTAAAATATTATAATTTGTTGTTAAAAATACATAATCGATTATTGAATAAAAGTGAGAAATATATAAGTTGAGACTTTAGTAATAGCAAAGAACCAGGTGGAAACGTTATATATCAATGTTAAAACTTTAAGATTTTATTTCAATAGAAATGCTTGGGCTGATCAAATAATTTAAGCAATATACAAAGAATAAAATAATTGAAGCGTAATTTATGAAAATTAACTTACATTTCCGAGCTTTCGAAGAGGTTAAAATACTTCTGTACACTTCTTGGCGTGCTTCCCGCCTAAAACTGACGCCTGTACAATAGTGTAGATCGATTGCGAGAAATATCGATCACGTTTGAGAATCGTAGGAAGTGTATTACGCGTTTCGCCGTTGGCGCTCTAGTCGTTACTTGAGCTAAAATTGGCGTGAACGCATTTTGCACGAAGCTACGCTATTTAACTGAAAACAGAAGATAAAAAAAGGTTTTCATCGTCTATTAAGTAAGGCAATTGATTTAACAAATTGTTTGTAATTTAATTTTTTAAGCTTTGAAACAGAAAACGAGGAAATTATGCAAAAGTCTTTAATAAAATACGTAAAATGTTAATAACTTTTCGTTAAAAATACATAACTGATTGTTTAAGGGATTCATATATCGAGGGGTTGTATATATCAATATTAAAACTTTATGATTTTATTCCGATAGAAATTAACAATTTAAGCTAATTAATAGTTTAAATTAATTAGATAGATTAGTAGAAGTCGAATACAAAGAATAAACCAAATTGGGACGTAATTTACGAAAATTAACTTACACTTTACAACTTTGGAAGAGGTTAAAATACTTCTGTAAGCTCTTTGCTGTGCATCCCGCTTAAAACTGACGTTGTACGTTTCCATACGTTACGTAGATTAATTACGAGAAATATCGATCACGTTCGAGAATCGCAGGAAGTATATTACACGCTTCGCCGTTGGCGCTGCAGTCTTTACTCGAGGTAAAGTTGGCGCGGACGCGTTTCGTACGAAAAGGCATTAATTAACTGAAAACAGAAGATAAAAAGAGCTTTCATCGTCTATCAAGTAAGATATTTAACAAATTGATTTAACAAATTACCCGTGATTTAATATTTTACCAACTTTGGCCTTGGTTAAACGAGCATGTCTCAATTTCAAATCGTCGTATCAAGCCTTGTCGATTCGATGAATTTACCTTACTCAATATCGCGCTTTAATTCGAACGAATTTAACTTACTTAATTTTTACAGTACCGGCAAAATAACGTTTCTCTTTTGACTTCTCGAGATAATTTCCATTGTATCGGACGAAATTTTTTGGTTATAGATTCTGTTGATTCGAAATCGTTCGAGTTAACCGTAATCGGAGTGAGAATGACGTAACCGACGTTATCGTTCGTCGAAGTGAATCACAGATGGCGTCAGAGACACGCTGATTTCTGTCGAGGTCGGGAATTTCGGTACGTGAAAAAGTCTTATGTAATATCGCGTCTACTCGTTGATTAGTGATTGAAAGATATGCTTAAACGAGCGATAAACTTTTGTTGAGTGTGAACAAAGTCGAAGTGGTTC